AGCTTAAGAAGTTATTCACAGTTAACAGATACACAGCATAAAATCACCATAAACTTTGCAGTGACCGCCGCCAACAACTAACCAACGAAGCAGAAAGAAGCAGATCGTGTGCAGTCCTCCCTCACTCGCTCCACTCCAAATGTTGATGAGCGCATACAATTTTGCAGAACATGAAGCACTGGCGTCATAAATTTGTAACTGCCTACTCCATTCAGATTGTGCATCTCTTCGACAGATGTTCACGTCGATCGGCTCCTTCCGTGCAGTGCATGGCGCCTCCTGACATAAGAACTTTTCAATGGTAGATTCGTGAAGAATTAAATTTTAACAGATTCAATAAAGTCTGTAATTGTACTAAAACAAACAAGACGTTTTGTAGGCTCTCTTCCTTCTGTTGAACAATCATCTTGTATTGACCTATAAATGTTAGCTTTCGTGATGAGCATCGAGACTATTTCTATTCTGAGACCGACTCAACAAAGCTCGCTGAATTGAACGCATCAGACTCTTTGAATGGACTCGTTAAAAAATTTCACAAGTCTACGAAATTTCATGTTAATAAAAAATTAAACGGATAATAGCAAGTAGTTGATTCTCCAACAAGCATCAATCTAACCGAGAACGTGTGCCAGCCAACGTATCGGCTTGTACGTGCAGAGCAGCCTTAATGACTGTCGTTGTTGGTCCTTATTGCGTGGACCAATTTTTCAAAATAATAACTTTTTGTATAAAATTATTGAAAAAAATTAACAACCAGTTTTAAATGTCAAAAACATTTATTGGGCTAAATATTTGTTTCAATACCAAATGACCAGACTTTTTTGCAGTAAATGAAGTTGAACAAAAGCGTTAACCAATATATATGAGACCTCAAAATTGCGTCAAATAATCGTTGTTGAGAAATATTGTAAGGAATAGTTTGTTTGGAATATAAAATTCAAATACTGCATCGAAGCGGCTAGCGAGGTGCAAAATATGAGTTCTCTTGAAAGCAACAGCAGAATGTTTGTTTGTTTGTGTGTGTGTGTGTGTGTGTGTGCGTGTATGCGTGTGTGTGGGTGGGATGCTTGGTGTCGAAACAAACGTGTTCGGTTCTAATGAGATGCAATCAAATTTGGATTATATGAATAAAAATATTAAATTATAAGCAGTAGATAAAATTGAAATAATAAAAAAGTTTATATATTGAATTGTAATATAAATATACAATATATATTAAACGTGTTAATGTTTGCAAATTAATATATCTAAACTGTTTATATTTGTTTGTAATAAAATTTTATAAACTGTCCAGGAAACTGACCGTTGAATGACAAATACGAATGCATGAAGTCATCGAAATTTTAGACAGGAAATCCATGTTTTCATAAACGCCAGAATAAATTTGGTTTCCACTTAATCTTTATTTTGAATATTTTTTTAAATAAATTCAATTATTCAAAAATAAAATTTCAGGCAAATATTTTGATTATGAAATACAAAGGAACTCATGAATTATGACAAAACTTATGAATTTTTATTTAAAAGCATTTTGCTACAAGCGAGTATAAATGAAAAGGACTTCAATAACGTTGTTTAATTTAAACATTTATTAATATTGACTTATGAAATTTTTTTTTAAAATTGTTATCAATGTTTTGTTGCTTTAAAATGTTAGTGGTCTTTTTTGTTAATTTTTTTTACTTTTGAAATAATAATAAAAAAATTTCAAATAAAATTTTTTAAAAGCGTTGGCTGTAATAAAAAAGCCAAGTAGAAACGATTTGCTGAGCTACTGAAGTTCACTTCATGTATTTATTTAATAACATATTAATTACTTTAAAAAATGTAGCTGTAACAAAATGATCAGTTTTAATTTCTTAAATAGTTGAATGACCACAAATGATTTGTAAGAAAAATTTCATTGGCGATGTAAACAGCGCCTACTGCCAGCAGCCCACAGCAGAAGAGCCTCAAACGTCACTGAACCTCGTACACAGTGGCGAGCCATGCATCTAATTACTTGCAGGTCGCATGCGGAACATCCAATGCACGGACCATATTCTTTCTCCTTCTGCCTTTCATTAATGGAAAGCCATCATCGTCATAATTACTTCAATATTCACTTAATATTATTTTGCTATTATGACAAAAAGTGCATCGAGAGGATCATTAACGTTCAGTTTGTTACATGGAAATGTAAAGTGTGTTGCGCGTGTTTGTACGTGCATGTGTGCGCACACTTGCTTGGGAGGCCATCAGGGACGTGGAGTGGGTGTTATGAAGGGACCTGCCTTCAATGGGACATCAAACATTTCCTACCTATCGATCCGATCACGATCATGCACTTTTATAACATCTCCTCAACATTTAACGACCCATAAAGAGTTGATGCGAGAGGCTGCTTTCATTTTTGCCGCTCCTGTTTTATGTCTCATGTTTGTGTGTGCTAGAGGAGGGGGAAATAATTTGCAGACTGGAATGCTCATTTAACAAATAAAGTTTTACATCCTTATTATTACACAACTTTAAACTTGCTTTGAACTTGCAATAAAACATTGCAATAAAACATTGATTACAAAATTTGTTTAATTTTCTAATTTTAAATATTTTGAAGGTACTACTGCTTATTTTTTGACAATATGCAAAAGTGGATTGTACCCGTCATTTAAAAAGCCCTGATGCAATTAAAGTTTATTAAAAAAATTAAGAAATTATTTTCAAATTCTTGCTTAATCTGACAAAATCTGTCATAAAATCTCACAGACAACTTCAAGCGAAACGTTTTCAGACAGACGGCTTGCACTTTTATTTCAGTTGAAATTGAAAAACATATAAATGTCACCGGTCATATTCAAATAAAAAAAAGTTTTGTTATTTTAATTATACACGTTTTGCTGGGAATCAAAAGAGAAAACAAACTAATTCGGCGTTGATTTAGAATATGAAAATTTAATAAAAATAATTTTCCGGCCTGTCACATAGATACAAATATCTTGTCAATATTTTTTATTCTGAAAATTTCAAAATTTTTATTTAGCGATGAAAAAAATATTTTCTAAGGAGCTTTGTTATAAGAATATTTCAATTTTTTCAACCATATCAAATTAAAATATTTACTAAAAATTGTTTCAATATGCTATTTTAAAATTCCGCGTCGGTGACGTAAGTTCATAAAATCGAAAAACCCCGGAACCTTCTTAAAAAAAGAAACTCCCGCAATAGAAATAAGATATTTAATTCACTTTTGGTCGGCAATTTTTGAACTTTTTCCATAAGCAAGTTGAAAATGTTTTCCTATTACGAAAACGATTAGACCACCACATCATCTTAGCCCAAGATTAGGTTTGTAATATATCCATACCGTAAGTTTGTACGTGTGTGTGTGTGTATGTATATATATTATATATATATATATATATATATATATGTGTGTGTGTGTGTGTGTGTGTGTGTGTGTGTGTGTGTGTGTGTGTGTATACGTATGTATTTGAATGTTTTCCAAAAAAATTAATGTTTGAAATAAACATCAAGTTGAATTCAAGTTCAAATTGAAAAAGGTGATGAACATGAAAATGCAATTTAAACAACTAATAGCTATTCTTTACAGCCAGCAAGAATAGTTTTTAAATATACATGTCATACATTGCAACTCGAAAAGAAAAACAAGTTTTATTTCTGTCTGTTATTTATATAATATTTCCAAATATGGAACACGTTCGCGTTTGTTAATGAATCAGAATAACTTTGTAAATGTTTGTTCATAGTTAGAGTATAAAAATTTTCAGTTGGTTTCGATTTTGTCAAAAAACTATTTTAAAAAAGTAGACATTAAAAAAATGAAAGTCACCAGCTCCTACTTAACCAATTTGGTCATCAGAATGTATCTGAAGAAGTTTCTACACTATTTCAAGCATAATGGATCCATTTACGTCTTATACATAACAATGCAGCGGTATTAGAGGTGTCAGTTTTTGACAAGAGAACAAATTCAAAAACATGAAATAAACTTTTTTTAACATTTTTGCTGGCTTAATTTGATTTTGTTATTTGTTGTTGTTTGTGTTGGTAGATGCCACTGAAGTAATTTGTCATATTGTCGAACCTTTTTTGAAAATTTGTGTTGAAGTTCTGTTTGTTTCTGCACTGTTAATATTTCGCCAACGTTGGTCAGATAATGCTATCTCATATTTTGCTGTCATTAGTTTTTTTGTTCTTATTTCGATTACTGTTTGAGCCGTTGTTTCTGAGGTCCCCACTTCCATTCATGCTGATGTCATCATCGTCCCCATCGTCTCCATCGTTGTGGTTCATGGTGTTTGAACTGTTAGTGATGGTGGTGTTGGTGGTAATGGTGGATGTGGTTATGCTTGGTGAATTGTTTTGTTCCATGAGATATGTGACGTCGATTTTGTTTTTGTTGTTGTTTTTTTATTGCTGTCTTTTCTGTTGTCAGTTTTGTTATTGCTATTTTTACCATTGTCGTTTTTCTTGACATTTTTGCTGTTGTCATTTCTGTTGTTGTTGTGAACATATTTTCTGTCATATTTATCGTTGCCGTTGTTATGTTCGTTTTCGTTGTTCAAGTTGCAGTTGACATTGTCGGCAGATTTGAGAGAAAGCTGTTCAGCGCGGAAACTTTCATTGACGGCATTCAACTTGCTCAACGGCAAACAATTAACATGGCCGTCCAAGTGAACGTTGTTAGCAGTGCAGTTGTTGAGGTGTCTGGGTGGGTGTTGGAAGGTTCCATCCGCTGTGAACATCATTTCTCCAGTTGGAGGGGAGAGAGGATTGGTGGCAATTTGTGGTGGTTTTGTGTCTGCAAAGCTCCCAGGCTCAAGTAATTTTTTGTCGCAACCAAATGCTTCGTTTGAATTTTTTTTGTGATTATGTTGAAGTTTTGAAGATGGATTTATTTGTTGTTGTTGTGATGCTAGCGGACATTTGATTTGACCGGTAGACAAATTATTTCTCTCGGAATGCTTACGTTTTACCTTGAAAAAGATGTTTCTATTTTTAAAGAGTTGAATGAATGATGTTCTGAATGACTTGCTCATGATGCAGTAGATGAAGAAGTTGATGGGGTAGCTGATGAGGATGAGGAGGTTCAGGAGGATCGAGAAGTGCAGCTGACTGCTCTGACTGATGAACTGTTCGGTGAAGTACATTTTTAGAATGAGTCAACATTAAAATATATTAGTTTTTTTAATAAAATTAAAAATTAAATAAAACGTGTTTACTGTAAAATAAATAAATGCATCCCAATTCAAATAAATATTAATAAAACTTGAAATTAAAATTGTCCAAAACACACATTCATTTTGAAATAATGAGGTTAGACTTTGATTTGTGGTCATGCTTACTTTTATTTTGGTTACCAATTTGTTTCTGTATCACTTGTGAAATGATAATCAAAGCAAATAAACTCATCAAACATCAGATAATATGAAGGCTTTTGGGTATCTGCAAAGGATGTTGATGGCCCACTATTTGAAATGTTGTGAAAATGATAATCGTTTAAATATCATAATTCCTTCTTACTCTCACTCATGCAGGGCAGAAGCGTGTTCTTGAAAATTTTATTGGCGAACTACAAAAACAATAACATTCATTTACATCAATATAATATGCTTGAAACAAAATTTGAAACAAAATAAATTATATTTTAAACAATTTCAAGACAACATAAGTTCAAAAATGAGCATTTTTTTCAAAATTTGTTAGAATGAACACTATGAAGTTTATGTTTCGTTTTAGTAGGCTGTCTGTCCGTGATTTAACTGCAAGCTCGTTCACGCTGTGCAGCGTTGAAGAACAGTGGAAGTGATCCACAGAGGTGATATGAAATTTGATTCATTGAAATGCATCAAAGTCTGTCAAACACAGTGCATTGGGGTGATTTGTTTTTGTTTCATTGTTTTTTACTCAAAACTTAAAAATTATTGTACTGGATAAATTAGCTAAGATCATGATAAAAAATTTAATAATTTAGCCGTAACATATCGTCAATTATGAATTCATTTATCAAATTATTTGTCATTACTACATACTCGCTTTTTAAAAAGTATCAATGATAACAATGATAATATTGAAATAAAAAAATGGTGGAGTGTAATTAATGTCCTGTTGTAATGATCTATGAATATTTTGAAAGAATCATCCATCAATCAAATTTTAGAAATTAATTTTTTCCTTTTATACGCCATTCATCATTCCATCCATTCATCACTTATTTTTTGTCCATGCATCCAGCGGGCAATCCCCTCCCCACAAATGACCTTCACCTTCTCCAGCAAACACGTGCAGAGCGTGCAAGCAATGCATCGGAATGATGTTAGTCAGGCTCAGTCAGGTGCATCACATCTCTCTCTCTCTCTCATTTTCCACCGATATCAAAAGTTGACGTCACTTTTATCATTCTTTTGTTCCTCTGCTCCCAACTTGAAAGGCCCTTCCAAATTAGTAATTTTGTGCTGGTTACTTCAAGCTCATTGCACGTGCAGTCGTTGTGTAATATATGTATGTATGTTGTGTAATATATATGTACGTATGTGGTTGTGTAATAAATGTATGCATGTTGCTGTGTAATAAGTGTTATGTATGTGTTGCACGTTATTTTATTTTTAAAACAATTTTTAGAAAAACAGAAACAATCAAAGGCAAACGAGTGTCGACGAAGAGCAAAAGTCAACACCGCTAACAAACCAGCCACTCAACTCGATCAGCATTCGTCTTCCAGTCAGCAGCTAGTGCACGTGCCATGTAAGAACTGCTCCACGTCACAGTTGTTTTATTCCATCCTCCCCTTTAATTGCATCTCATTCTACGCTTCATGAACAAACGTCACGAAACGAAAGCTCGGAGGACAGCACCGCAAACAACGATCCCCACCACCGTCTCCTACAACAGTAGCCATCACCTTCCTTCTACTGGCTTTTCAGGTTTTTTCACTTTTTATGTTTTTTCCATCTTTTTAATATTTTTCACTTTCCTACGTATTCCCAAGACCACGGTCGTATCTTTAAATTTTGATCTGACGTAAATGTTTGTTTGAATACTCCGGTACTTTTCACGCATGAGAACGTAGAAAAAAATACTGAATTTTTTGTTTGAAGTTTGTTAACACTTAACCAGCGTAAACCGATTTCTCATTTCGCAATATTTTAGTGATGAGAGTTTCAAACCAGTAAAGACATTAGAACCTTTAACAAAATTATAAAATGTTTTTCAAAAATTAATTTTATTTAATCTAAACATGTAAAAAAATTGAAATATATTGCAAAACTCTACGAATGAAATAAACTAAAAGTTAAACAGCTTGGAATGTTTGTTGTAAATTTCATTAAACTTTTAAATTTCACATCAAAAGATGAGAAACAAATTCAGAATCGCTAAAAAATTAGGAAACAACAAAAAATTTATTTCACTAAATGACAAAGACATCGCGAAAATATTACAACACCGAAACACTCAGAAAAGGTTGCAGCAGGAACATGAAGTACGTGTGCAAGAAGAAGTTGTGCCTTCAAGCAGTGAAGCACTCACTCAGGCATCATGGGCGAACACGACGGCTGCAAATTACATTGTGCCACTCTTATCATTTCCCACAAGAGGAACAAAAATAAGTCTTAATAAAATGAGACAACAGCAAAACAGCCCATTACTCGCGTTTATTTTTTAGTTATTTATGTAAAAGCTATAAAATCAACTGGCCTAGATGATAAAAGCCAGTAAATAAAAAAACATTTTTACAAATAGAACGATTTCTCCAGATTCGTGTTTTAAATCACTTCAAAAATAATAATAACCCTGTAGACGCACTTTGACATTGCAGCAAAAAGAAGGATCGCACGTGTAGCATGGAGACTTGACGGCTTCTGTATATATGGCGTGCCATATATATATACTCAACCATTTTGCACATACAATAACAAAAGTTGAAGATTTGGAAAGGCACCGCATTCTGGTGGCTTGGAGGGCTAGACCTTGACATCCATGCAAATAAAATATGAATTGCACATGAAAATAATATTAATCAATGAAAGTATGATACCATGTGGTCTTGGAGTGTCGGAGATGAATGTGGCACTAGCAGATGATAACGTCATCAAAGTATTCGTTGCAAATAAACCAAAAATATATCATAGAATGAAATTTATGAAAGGTATGAGCTTCAATAATGTTTACAGCCTTCCATGCGATGTTGGGGGTTGAAACTCCATTACAATATTGGAATTGATTGATAATTTTATTGTCATGATTGCTATTACAATTATATTTTATTTATTAACTGAAGTTATTATATTTTTACTTCAAACAGAATTTTTTTATGTATTTCAATTTTCTACATGTTGTAACGATGAAAAAATAATATTGAAATTATTTCAGGAAGTTGTTAGTCGGAGAGAAAATAGAATGAATTTGAATAGAGAATGGTTTCCCATACCAACCGGCCAGCTTGTAGCGTTATGTAAAGTGGGATAAGGTGTAATACTTCTGTTGCCAAATTATTCAAATTTTTCTCGCAAGTTTTCTTTGCTGATGTAAACAAAAAATACCGAAATACCACAAAATAAAAGGCTACATTAATAGATCGAAGTCTTTCTTTATCACAGAATTTTCTAGCAACTTGAAAAACATCAAAAAGTGAATAATAAGCAAAATACAAATAAATAAAATAGAAATCAATAAAAATGTCAGTCATTATAAGAAAACAAACATGTACAGCACAACACTCAAAACATGTATCGTTTGAAAAATTAATATTTGTATTATTCGCACATATAATGAAAAATATGCCATATTAACAATTACATTGATGAACAAACACTCCAAAGAAATGTATGAATGATGTAAGTTGTGCTGTGTTGTAATCGGTACTGCCAAAACTAAGCTGCGTTAGCTTTACATAATTAATTAGAACGAACTCAAACGACTCGAGTAACGTAACGAAGAAAATTATAAAAAAATAAATTATCGCAAATAAATTATTGTCTTAAAATTGAATGCATTATAACAATTATTAATGGGTCATTTCAATCGTAAGAGGACAAAAACTCTACTAACAGTAAGTTTTTTTCGAGGGTTTTAGTCCTAGAACCATTTTATTCAGTGCACAATCCACATCAATCTCAATAACGTTGGGACTTACGATTTATGATTTGTTAATGTGATCATTGATTTTGAAATAAATTTCAAAATAGAACGTAAAAAAGTTTTGAAAGTAAAAAGTACAAAATGAGAGAGAGAAAGAGAGAGCATTATTTTGAAGGCATGATTTTTAACAAGCACAAATAACTCCATCGGGGCAACACAGTCATCCTGTGCATTAAGGGTTTCATGTTCAGAAAAAAGTCACATAATGTTCCACAGTGCTTAAGTAAATTAATTCGCTGTGCGTGAATTTCATTACAAACATTACATTGCATGTTTTATTATTATGAAACAACGCTTATTGCTTATGCTCGTTTTATTTGTTCATTGTGACTTGCTGTTCCCTGACAATAATGGAACAGAAATTGCACATGAACGTGAACAAATACACCACCCACCCCACCAGCCAGCACGCAGCAGAGTTCCAACGTTGAAACCCATTAACTCCAAAAACATTGAAAAAAGATAAAAACTTGTCTTTTTGATTTTATTATGTTGTTTGACGTTGAAAAATACTGGTTGCCTTTAATTTTTGTAATTTTACTTTTTACTTCTAAGTAAAAATTTTAAATTAATTTTTAAAAATTTTATTTCAACACAACAATTTCAGAATTTATATTGCAAATAAATTCCTTGTTAGGCTGAACATTTATATTGATGGCTAAAGACTAATAATTTAGAACAAAACAAAGTATTTTTCAATCTTCAACTTATGACAAGCTTTTGACGTGTTCGTTGTCGTTTTTTGAATCAGATCGTCAAATAAAAATGACAAAACTTGCATAAAAAATTAAAATGAAAAAATATCATAATTTCAAAAAGACAATCATAAAAGGGTTTTAACTTGAATGAATTTAATTATTTAAAAAAAACATTAATATCAATGACTAGTAGAAACGTGAATGAACTAAATTCTTTACTCGAGATATCAGTGGCGACTAACATTAAATGTGTTCGGCGCCATCTAAATTTTTAATTTTCTCATTTGCAAAAAATA